CATCAGGCACAGCTCTGGAGACCAGGGGGCTCCTTAGCTCTTCCTCCCGCTCCTTCAGGGCTGGCAGGGGCCTGACAGGTGCGGTGTGCCAGGGATCGGCGTTATAGTACAGCGGTGGGGGGCAGAAGACGCCAGCCTCCTCGTCCAGCTCCACAGCTCCTTCTTCACCCTGTGACTGGAGACAGCGATCACCAGCCTCCTCATCCAGCTCCGCAGCTCCCTCCTCGCCCTGTGGCGGAAGGCAGAAGTCACCAGCCTCCTCGTCCAGCTCCACAGCTCCTTCTTCACCCTGTGACCGGGGACAGCGATCACCAGCCTCCTCATCCAGCTCCGCAGCTCCTTCCTTGCCCCGCAGCGCAACACAGGGTGCTGAGGCAGCTCCGTGAGGGGACCCCAGCACAGGGCTAAGGGCCGCCGGCTCCTGCCCCAGGCTGCGGAGCTGATAGGCCAGCGCTAGCTCCCCCATGCGCTCGCCCCGGAGGCCCCGCAGAGCGAAGCAGCCCCGGGCGCCCCCGGGGCCTGGCCCAAGCGGGATGCGGGCAGTGCCCAGCAGGCGAGCGGGGCCCGGCCCCTGGGCGGGCAGGGCCAGCAGCAGCGCGTGGAGCGGGGCTGGGCCCGGCAGCTGCGGCAGCACGCAGGCCTTGCCTCGCCCGAAGGGGATACGCCGCCCCGGAGCCTCGAGGCCTCGGTCAGGTGGGAGCACCAGCAGCGTGGGGAAGTCGAGCAGCCGCAGCGCCACGGCCGGGCGGGGGGGTAAGGGGGCGGGAGGAGCCAGCCACGCCCACTCCACCAGCAGCTCCAGCGCCGCCAGGCCCTCGCGCTCGCCCGCACCTGACATGGCTGCAAAGGGGATCTCGGGGGATTTCTTCCGCCAGCCGGCTAGCGGAGGGGTGAAAGTTTCGCGAGAGTTCCCCAACTCAGGGACGGAGCTAGCCTCCGGAGCGAGGGGAAGAAGGTTGTGATGTCTCGCGAGAGGTCTGCCCCCCACCCCCGGGGAGCTAACGCGTGAAGGACTCGCGAGAGTTCTTCCCTCCCCGGGAAACCAGCCCGCGAGTACGCGACGTCTCGCGAGAGTTATTCCTTCACCAGCCGCAGGGGGGGCTTGAAGTTCCTATTGGGGCCGGAACCGGCACAGGGTTAGCTGTTGGGGGGATTACATCTCGCGAGAGTTGTTGGGATGGGAGGTGAACGCACTCCGTATAAGAGGTAGGGGCTGGTGAGATTTGGGGGGAGGGGGTGGGTTGAGTTCTTGCGAGAGGAGTGGGGCCTTGCCCGTCGGGAACTCGGAGGAGCGTGGCTAGGGAAGCAGCAGCTTGGTGGTTGCCAGGGCAGCCTCGAGGCCCTCGCTGACGGAAGTCTTCGCAAAGCACCCTGGGGACTGTAGTCCCCGGAGTCTGCGAGGCTTCTGTGTGGGGCCAAACGGTTACGCATGACTGACGTCACCACATTCCGAGGGGACCCCGGGGGAGCAGGCGGCTAAGTGCTCCCTTCCTCCTGTCCAAGTCCTTTCTTTTTTCCTCGCCTTCCTTTGCCAGCAATCACAATTCCCCTTCTGCAGCAAAAGAGGCGGCAAAAGTACAGTAGAGCAGCAGTTCTCAACCTTTTGCACCTTGTGTCCCACCAACAATCTTGTAAAAAAAACCCTTGCTTCCACTGTGGTAAGAACAAAACCTCACACAATTGCACTGTTCAAGATACCTGTTGATTCATCCATTTGAAGTGCAAACAACTGATTTATTTTGATCGGGCAACGAGTTGAAGTCCCATCTACACGACCTTCAAGTCCCACTAGTGGGATACGTTGCACTGGCTGAGAAACTCTAGTAGAGCGCCTGGATCATCCTTCCTTGTCAGCCAAATCCCTCTGGCTTTGGCCGGTTTGCTTTGGTTTTGATTTTTCTCCTGGCCACAGCAGAGAGTTACCCCTTTATTTGTCAGTAGTAAACACATCATGGCCACAACGCGCTCCTTTTCACTGCAGCCTTTTAACCCAGTTTGCAACTGGATTGAAGAACACGTGGATACATGTGGTTTTTTCAGTTTTCTAGACCTGAACTTGGCTAATGTCCCACTAAAGCTGCAGGACTGGTGTCATCTGTCAAACAAGACAAAAGGGCTGCCTGCCTTTGAAAAAAAACGGGTTAGGAGGAGTTGAAAAAAAAAGAAGCAATTTAACAATATGATTTAGTCCAATGCACATTAAGCACCACACAAAAAGTGTTCATCTGTGCTAATGTGCAGTAGCGCTGATTAAGGGGATTACAGCGATTACACCGTAATAACAGGTACAAAAACTGAATGCGCTGTAATTAGGGTGGCCATCAAGGTACCTCAAGAAAAGAGTGCAACTATACCCACCACATGAAAGTCGTGTGCCTCCTGAGGCTGGAGGAGGGGATGGCGAGCTCCCGCAGGCAGCAGCGGTGGTCTTGGTGGTAGGGGTGTGGCCATGGCAAGCGGGGAGCCTCTGCAGGCAGCTGCGGTGGTGTCGAGAGGGGCGGGGTGCACAGCGGTGTGGTGAAAAATAAAGGACATAACAGCATCCAGTTTTGTATCAATAGAGGACAGAAGACCAGAAAACCAGACTGTCCTCTATAGAACCGGAGGAATGGCCACCCTAGGGATAATTGTAGATGCACCCAGTGATGGTCAGATTAATCCTGCGTGTAATTCAATTCAAGTTAGTTTAAGCATGGATGCATTTCAGGCTCAAAGCCTGTTTTTTTTTCAGACACTGAGCACCCACAACTTCCACTGACTTCATTTGTTACTAGGGTGCTCCATAGTTACTGGAATCATTGCAACATCTCTCCAGGTGGGGATCTAAACACTCAGGCATGCAAAATTAGCTGGCACAAAAATTTAGACTTTCCTGCCTTATCCAAGGTCAGACAGTGAGCCACTGCCAGAATAAGTATTAGAACAGAACATTCTAGGGTTTTTGTTTTGTGTTTTGGCTTCCAAGCCCATGGCCAGTTCACGGGAATGTGCTGCCTCTTTCAGGTCTATATACAAAGATGTTGTTGCATAAATTGCTGATTTTATCCCCTGGAGGCTA